ACTATATATATATATATACTATATTATATAGTTCATTAGTATATATAAACTAACATTATATAGTTCATTAGTATATATAAACTATACATTATATAGTTCATTAGTATATATAAACTATATATATAGTTCATTAGTATATATGACATATATATTAATTTATTATATAAACATATATTAATTGAAAGAATTGGAAAATATATAAGGATCAAATTGAACAAATTGAAATATGAAGCTTAAATTAATAAATTGTAATATTAAATTTGAACTAAATTGAAGAAATTTGAAATATGAAGCTTACATTAATATATTACATCATTAAATTTGAACTAAATTGAACAAATTTAAAATTAGGAGACAACGCTACAATGCCAAATAAAGTTAAAAAACACGCGGGTCAAAACCCAACCCAAAACCAACAAACCCGTATAAAAGGAAAAAGTTTTCATTTTTCAGCCATTTTCCTTTCTTTTCTCAGTTTGTTTTCTCTCTCTCTCTAACTCTCCGATAAATTCATTTGTGTTCATAACTTGTTCATCCGTGTTCATCCCAAAAACCCTCATTTGATCTTTAGAAACACCAAAACCCAAACCATTTCGGTTTTTCGATCAAACACCCAAAAATTCATCTCGTGCTCGTCCGTGTTCATCCCAGTTCTTCCCCAAACCATTATTTGATCTTCACAAATACCAAAACCTAAATCGATTCTTTTTTGATCAAACACCCAAAATTTCATCCATTATTCATCTGTGTTTTCCCCAAACCCTTACAAACACCCAAAACTTAAACCAACTTAGTTTTTCTATCAAACACCAAATCCAAACATCAGTCATCCATGTTCATCCTGAAACCTTTCTTTGATCCTTACAAACACTGAAATCGAAACCAAACTTTTGTTTATATCAAACCCACCAATGTTCATCTTCTTAACCATAACCCAAACTTGAACCTAAACCTGAAACCAAACCCTAACTCAAACCTAAACCCAGACCGAACCCAGACCTGAACCTGAATCTGAATTCGAATCCAACCTGTTCCGAATCCAAAATCGAATCCAAACTATTCGAAACCTTTATTTTTTTCTACGGTTTCATGGATAGTTTGTCTTACGATTTGAATTATAATTTTACTTCTCGTTCCCTTTTTTCATTTTTATTTTAATATTCGAATTAATATGTTCTTTATTTGTTTGTAGGAGAAAACCCAACAGATCAGAATGAAGAACATTCTGAAAGTGGTAAACCTCATTCTTTTTTTTTGTATATTCTTTATATATATACACTGGTATAAAGTTGTGATGTAAATGATATACTGTCAGAAGTAGTTAATGTAAACTAACCCTGATTTTTTTTTACAAGATGATGTAAATGATATACTGTCAGAAGCAGTTGATTCAATAAATCATCTAAGAGGAAGACTAATGTTCAGCCGAGTTCGGGAGAAGAACTTCTCATGTTTGGGAGCATTACACCTTCGTCAATTGTCGATGGTTCTGTTTATGCCGAGTGTAAGTATTGAAAAAATAAAAGGTCTAAATTTGATTTTATATTGGTACATCTAACCCTAGAAGGCATACTGAGAAATGACAATCTTATAAGGAATATCTTGCTGAAAATCTTGTTTTGGTAAGTTTTTTTTTATCAAAACAAGTATCGTGAATTGTTTGTTGAGGCTATTTTGTGTTATGGTATGCATATAGTATTGTTGAGCATGAAAAACTTAGGGATTTACATCATTACCTTAATCCTCTCTTAAGGATATATCTAGGTATATTGTTACTAAGTATTGCATGTTGGAGCATGAAAAGCATAAGAAATTGCTACTTGATTCAATACATACTGTTTCAAGTCGTGTTTATTTATATGTGATGGTTGGTCTGCTTGCAGTTCACGTTCTTATTTTTCTCTCATGCTCATTATGTTGATAATAACTGAAAACTTCAGTCTAAAATACTTAATTTTTGTCGTTTCCTCCACCTCGTGATGGTGAGTCAATATTTAAGTTGTTAAAAAATGATATGTGAGTGGGGTCTTAAAAAAAGCATTTACCATTACACTTGATAATGCTTTTGCAAATGATAAAATGGTCAGGAGGCTGAAAGATGATTTGAATGTCATTTTCCTCTTCCCTGTAATGGTAAGTACTTCCATATAAGGTGTGCCCACATTTTGAACTTGATAGTTCAAAAAGGTTGAAGGTAACTGATTCTTCTGTATTAAACTGCGTGAGATTGTTAAGTTTATTGATTCTTCTGATTCTCGACTTTATGCATTTGAATTAGTTGTTAAAGATTGTGATTCTTCTTTCTCTGGTAAGTTAGTATTGGATGTTCCTACTAGATGGAATTCTACTTACTTGATGGTTCTTAGGGCACTTGAGGCTAGATTAGTAATTAACTTGTTTGTTAATAGGGAAATTAGTTGGATTTCATTACTGATCATGAGTGGGAAATTGTTCAAACAAACTGTGATTTTCTTGGTCTTTTAATGAAATTACTACTATGTTCTATGGTTCTAAGTATCCCACTTCTAACTTGTATTTGGCTAACATTATTGCAATTGAAAAATTATGTGTGATGCTCATAATGATCCCTGTGAAGGTATTTCTTCAATGGCTAAACCCATGCTTGGATTATATGAGAAATATGGTCTGATCACTCATGATTCTGCCTTTTGTTGTTTTACGTGATCCTCGATATAAATTACAACTTCTTAAAGAGTTGTACAATTTTTTTTTATGTTGGGGATGAGGTTCAAAGGAGGGTAAGTCTAATTTATAATGAGTATTTTAGTTATATGTATTTTATTAAAATAATGCACCTTGTGGTTCTTTCTCTTCTTCTTCTGTCCAAAGTAATACATCCTTAGGTAGAAGTGACTCAAGTTCCAATCAGCCTCGAACATTTACAAAATTAGATCTATTTCAGGTTAGTTATTACAATTTTAAGTTGAATTTATCTTATTTATTTCCTATTTTCATTTACTAATTTTTGTCTTTTATTTTTCAGACTTTTGATGCCAATTTAACTGCTTTAAGGAGGACGATCTGATGTTAATTTAACATCAGTTTGCCTCTTGTCCCTCATACTGGAGAAATTGACTTTGATATTTTGGATTATTGGAAAAATTAAAGTATTTCATATCTGGTACTTCTCGCATGAGAGATATATTGGCTATTCCAATTACTTCAGTTGCATCTGAATCGTCTTTTAGTATGGGGGTCGAATTTTGAACAAATTAAGAGCTAAACTCTTACCTAAAAATGTTGAGATTTTTGTAACAACCCGTAATTTGTTGTATGGTTTTGAGTCGGAGGATAAGGATTAAACATTACTGTGGTTAACGAGTCTTCTATGTAAAGGTAATCCAATTTTTTATGTTAATGTCATTAATATTTCAAATTGTTATTAATTATTTTAATTTTTCTTTTAAATTTTAGGTGTTTAATGGTCTTTGAAACTATTAGTATTGGAGATTCTGTCTTCTTATTCCCTTCAAAGGTAACTTAAATTTTATATTTATTATGTTTATTTAATAAAAGTTTCAAATAGTTAATTAATAATTCTTTTTTTAGGTGCCATACAAGAAGAATACTTGGTGCTTGTTCTGTTTGATATTGCTTGTTTCTGTTTGATATTTGTAAGGGTTTGGTAAAGTCAGAAATGTTTGACATTGTTGGTCGTCGAATTCCCTTTGGTTTTACCACTAATTATATGTTTTCTTAATGTAGGATGCTTGCTGAATTGATGCAAGCTGAATTGATGCTTGCTGAATTGATGCAATGATGCTTGCTGAATTGGTACATTAATGCTTGTCAGTTGTTGTTGTCCATTACTCACTAATGCCTTATAAATTATTTTTGTTAGTCTGACTTAAATCACTTTTGAATTTTATAAATTCTTATCTAAATAGTTACTCATGTGGAATTATGTTGGTGACATTTTGACTTTTAAAGCTAGAAAGTTGCCCATAATTAAACATGTTGGCAACATTTAGGTATAATGGTTCGATGATGATATTTCTGGTACTATAGTTAGGCTTTTAGCCTTGTAAAACCTTAACTATAAGATATGAGAGCATTTATTTCAATATAAATTTATTTTGTTTAGTTGATTTTATTGTAATTTTAGTGTATTCAAGTGTAATAAAATTAACTTCATTTATAAATTTTTTGTTTTAGTATTTGTAATGTTATTCAAGTTTCAAATATTTGATAAGTTCATCATTTAAACTAATATATTTTTATTTTAAAATTTCAAGTTAAGTTATACTTAAATTATTAATCAATTTTCACATTAAAAGTAAATTAGATTTATGAATATTTAACTCATTATAATTAATAAAATTATGTTCAATAAGATAATATTTAAATTTAATTTAGTGATTATAAATAAAATTTATATTATAAGAATAATTAATATAAAAAATTAGAATTAATATAAAACTAAATTTATAGTATTCAAATTATAATTAATCTAAAAATTAAATTTCAAAAAGTAATCATATTAATTTAATTATCATAAGTTTATTATAAATTTAAAATAACATAATTATATTAATTGTAACTTATTACTTAGTCAGAATAATATCAAATTACTTTAATAATATGTCAGATCATTTACATGTTGAATCATTTACATGTAAGGTTCATAACAGGTCAGGTTGAAAACAGGTGGGGTAATACCAGTTATTTACCAGGTCAATCTTAGGTTCAAGTTCATATCAGTCAGATGCAGTTTGGGTTCTGGTATCATATTTTCGGTTCAATTCGGGTTCAGGTCGTTCTCAGGTCCGGTGCATGTCGGATTCAGATCCATAATTTTCAGGTCCAACTCGAGTTCAGGTCAACACCAATTCCGAATCGAGTCAATTTCAGATCGCCATAGCACATATCAAAAATAATTTTGACTCGAGTTGGTTTTAGTTAGATTTACGGGCAGGACTTATTATTGCTTCGGGTGTGAGAGGTCACGAGTTCGGTTCTCGGAGCCCCTTTTCGGTTATACTATTTTAACCAAGGTATTAGATTTTGAACCTAGCAAAGCCAAGTATCGTTTTTCCTCCCCAAAACCCATATTCTCCTCTCTCTCAAGCAAATTCTTCGCAATGAGCAGATCCGGGCAGCCTCCAGATCTCAAAAAGTAATCTTTTTGTTTGTTTCCCTGAATTGTTTTGTTTCCCCTCAATTCTTCGATTCTTAATTTATTGTTGTGTGTATTGTTCGTTACAGATATATGGACAAGCAGCTCCAGAGTAACTTCTTTTTTTTCTTTTAATTCCCTCTTTTCTGTTACCCATTTCAACTTGATGCTTCTAATTAACTTTGTTTACATTCATCTGCTGTTGAATTTTGTTAGATAAGTTTCTCCTCCATGATGATTTTTACCTCTTCGGCTCTTCGATTTTAGTTTGGTTGAGTGTTTAGTGGTTGAAGCTGAAATGGTTCTAAATCTTGCGTAATAGTTCAGTCCGGATGTCCTCACTTGTTTGAACATGATTGCTATTTAAATCTTTGTTCTTTACACACATATATCTATAAGCAGGTACCGACGTAGGATTTACGGTAGGGGGAAACTTGTAATATTTCAGGAGGAAACGAATTTATAAAACTTTAGAGGTGAAAACAAATTATCAAGATAAAGGGTTTTATGTTTGTGGGGGCGAACTTATAATATTTTAGGATAGGGCAAATTTATAAAATTTTAGGGGCGGATGCCCTTGATGCTTGTAATTTACTTTGTTTACATTCATCTAGCCATGGAATTTCATATTTTGTATACTTCAGTGTTTCTAAGTTATGTTCGTTAGATGGTATCATGTGCCAGATTACCAAGTTAAAGGGTTTAAGACTAATCCTTTGCCTTGGGACAGTCCTATGGAATTGTTATGATTGTAGATTTATTCTTGCATTGTAATGGTATTTGCCAATACCGATCCATGCATTAGTTTCTTTGGAACTTACTGCTGATTCTATGTTTGCTTCTGTTAATTTGGTATCGTAAGTTGCTCTTTAGGTTGACATATATATATATATATGAGGAAAGTCCTGTGATATTTACTTCCTGTGGCTTATGGGCTTGCAGATTGTCAATTACGTATATTGTAGCTTAGTAGTATTCATGGAAAGGAACCAATTTAATTGTGTGAAAATATACTGTTTGAATGCTCTGCAGTCAAGCTGAATGCCAATCGCATGGTCGTCGGTACGCTTCGTGGGTTTGATCAGTTTATGAATCTAGTGGTTGACAACACTGTAGAGGTGAATGGCAATGAGAAAACTGATATAGGCATGGTGGTGAGCCTCCTATACTTTGCTCAATGCTTAAATTGCCATTCATGTGTATGCTTTCATCTTTAGCCTCGTTTTATTAATCAATATCAATCTGCCCCAGGTTATCAGAGGAAATAGCGTTGTTACTGTTGAAGCACTTGAACCTGTAGCAGAATGCAGTGATTTCCGGTTCTTCGATTGGAAATGTGGAACTCACTTGATGGTATCTCATTCACGTGCTGTTATTTGGAACATAGCTGCTAGCCTGCTGATTTGGGCTTAGGGTATTCTATTTAATTGAGAACTAATCGAAGATTAGACGGATTTTCTTAGTTTATGCTCTTTATTTTCCTTTTCTTTACCTGATGAATTGACCTGGTTATACCAAATAGTTTTAATGGAATGGTGGATTGAAACTTATGCTCCATTCCTTATGTTAGAGCGTATTTCTGGTTCTTGATGATGTCCTTTGTGCAACTACAGCTTGGCATTAGGTTAATTTCTATCCATGGTTCGCTGGAACCATCTTTTTGTCGACCGATCCGTGATTTCCGAGCTACATAATTGCGTGTCAACTTTACACTGCACTGCTCTGGGGATCAAAAGTTACTGGAGGATGATGGAATTCATTACCCCATTTGTTGGTTTTAGCTTAGATTTAAAATCTAAAATAACAGATAAAGTAAAATTAAAACAAATCCATAACAGGAAGCAGCAATGAAAATATAGAATCAAAGAGGGCAATGGAGCCAATGCAATTTTCGACTATTTCCTCCGGTCATTGCTCGGTGCCTTGGAGTAATTGTTCAAGAAGCCGAAGCTTCAACAATGGCTAGGAACTTGTTCGCTGCAAGTAAACCAAACTGAAGCTTCAACAATGGCCTGAGATTGGGATTACTGGTGCCATTTTTGACAAAGCTAGATGGTGATTCTAGAGATGGTGCAGCTTTGAGTGTTAAGAGATGTCATCATACAACAAAGTAGAGCGTAGAGACTATTCTATTGTAAAGTTCAATGTAATAAAAAATGATTAGAATTAACAGAGTTGATTTAAGTGGTAAACATATTGATATCATTTAAGGTTTTGAATTCGAGTTTTTATGTATGTAAAAAAATTTCTACTGTGAGATTTTTTACCAAAATCAGGTGTGTAACGTCCGAATCAGTTCGAATTAATCAAAAGGGAGTCTTAGAATTGGGAGGGAAAAAATAATAATTAGAGACTATTTTATTGTAAAATCCAGTGTAACAAAAGATAATGTGCTTTAAAATGTGATTCATGTCAAACAAAAGCATTGTTTCATGGAAAATCAAATTGTGCATCTTAAATCTGTATGATACAGAAATTATGATCCGATTTTCAAAGTTGAATTCAAGTTTTTATTATGTGTAGATTGACAAATGTTCGAAGAATTTTGGATCTTCAAATTTTGAAATGATGTACTTTTTGTTCATACTCTAAAGGTTTAAAACTTGATTCTTCTCCTCCGCTTGTACCATTCTCCATGCAAAATGTCCCTCCACCGCCTGCTATTTCCCTCTCCGCCGTCACAACCACCGCTTCCCCCGCCATTCTTCTCCCCCAACCCCAACAAAAAGGTAACCCAAATTTCTTCACATAAATTCACCCACGAAACTTCCACTCAAACCCCTAATTCCATCAAAATCCCCTTAAAGCTCCAATCCAGCCAAACCTCACTTTCCAAAGCCCTTGAAACCCTCACCAAACTCAAACCTTTCCTCCAAACTAATCATCAACCCATCCTCCTTGGCTGGCTATGCAGCTCCGTATCAGTTTTTTCACTTTCCCAAATTATCCCCAGAATTGGTTCCTTCTCTTCCAACTTAATCAACACCGTTTCCATCTCCAAATTGCGTGACCAATGCCTTCTTCTAGGGGTTTTGTTGTTGGTCAAGTTGGTTGCTTGTTACTGGCAACAAGCCTTCTTATGGGAAGCTTCGTTGAGGACAGTGTATCAGATGAGAGTTTTCGTTTTCCAGAAAGTTTTGGAGAGAGATTTGGATTTTTTTGAAGGTTGCAATGGGGTTTCTTCTGGAGATATTGCTTATCGGATTACAGCTGAAGCTTCTGATGTCGCTGATACTGTTTTCGCTCTCCTTAATGTAAATAATTGAACATTACTTGCCTTTTTCTTCTTTTGATTTATGCAATGGTTTTTCGATAATTTGTTGTTAAAATCTTCTTTATGAACTTAGCTAATCGTGCTAGAACAACACTGCAATCTGCATAGCTCGAACTCGGATTTTCAACAACAAAAAGAATCCTCATTTCCGATGTTCATCATTGTGATCTTCATGTTCCTGTTGATCTTTATTTTCGTTGTCAGTGATGGGGTTGGACACTGCAATGTATGTCACTCATTGATTTCATTCTTGGAACAGACTATTGTGCCCAACACGCTGCAATTATTCGCAATGGCGATGCAGATGTTGGTTATCAGTCCCTCCCTCTCCTTGAGTTCAGCAATGGTAAAGATACATGATATTTATTTTAGCTTCCTTTGTTAACTAAATGTATTTCGATTACTTTCGTGTTTGATGTATAATGTGTCTGCATATGTATTCTGGTGTGTTTTTAGGTGATTCCATTTATGGCTTTTGTTATAGCTTATCTCGGTGAAAGACTTCGTAAGATATCTAAGAGATCTCATCTGAGCATTGCCACTCTTGCATCTTATCTGAATGAGGTATCCTTTCTATTTCATTTGGCCCTCATATCCTACAGTCTCATCAGTGCTTGCATTTCTTTTTTTTCTATTCGTATAAATTCCTCTGTGTTCCAGCAAGAACGAAGCGTCCAACTTTTAAGTTGCTGCTTATTTTAGCTGGTATATTTCTAACGTTTTAGGTCCTCCCAGCCATTTTTTTCGTGAAAGCAAATAATGGAGAGTTGTCTGAGCATGCCAGATTTCAAAGGCTTGCTTATACAGTTTTTTCTCGACTTTTGGAAAAGAAGAAAATGAAGGCCCTAATCCCCCAGATCATACAAATTATTTATTTTGGAGTTTTATGCATGCTTTGCGTTGGATCCCTGGCCGTTTCACGTGGTTCTTTTGATGGCTGTAGCATGGTTTCTTTTGTAACATCACTTGTTTTCTTGGTTGAGCCCATTCAGGTAATATTATTTCTGCAGAAAAGATTACACATGCTTTTTTCTACTATCAGTAACCCATTATTGGAATGTTGAGCTTCTCTTTTCATTCTTCTCATTAAGAAGTCGGTCAAGTGACGGGATTTGTTCACGATGACCGTCAAGTCTTTGTGTCGTGGTTTTCATTGGTTGAAAGTTATAAGTAGTGCAGTGATCTCTTCTTTACTTTTGAAAGTGATCTTATGGTTCAGCTATTGAGGGGCTGCCTTGAATAACCAATCTTAGAATAAAGAATCATGTAGGGTGCGGGTAAAGCATACAATGAGTTGAAGCAAGGAGAACCGGCCATTGAACGGTTATTTGATTTGACCAAGATGAAGTCCAAGGTACATTTTTTTACTTGCCAACTCAAATGATCTCAATGAATTCTTTTTATTACTTGTATGGCAATAAACAAGTATATATGAGGCTATTGTTTTAGGTAAATAATGGGTCGTCGAGACATCACAAACACTCTTGGGCACATATGATGTTTGTGAAAAATGACTCAGCTGGTTTTTACTGTCACGTTTCATTGATTTTTGTTTTATAGGTCGTCGAGAAACCAGATGCCATCGATTTAAGCCATGTCAAGGGAGAGGTGAAATTCTGTGATATCTCATTTAAATATGCTGATGACATGCCACTTATTTTGGATGGGTTGAGCTTTACTGTAAGGGCTGGGGAGACAGTAGCACTTGTTGGACCATCTGGAGGAGGAAAGACAACCCTTGTAAAATTGCTTCTTCGCCTATATGAACCTTCATCTGGTGAGGCATCTAAATCTATATACATATCCCGTAGAATCGATTTAGTTATTTCTGTGTCTCGATTCCTTTCGGCATTTATTGTTTGCGTATCTGGCATTCCATAATGCAGGTTCCATACTTGTTGATAACCACAACATACAGAACATCCGATTGGAAAGTTTGAGACGACATGTTGGTCTCGTTTCGCAAGATACAGTAGGTGACTAGTGGATGCCATGGTTACCCTCGTCATTTGTATTATTTTTTCAGTGCTATAGTTTTGCACTTTTGTTGATAAGTCCCAATTTGTTCAAATGATTGATTTAGACAACTCTGGTACATGTATCAGATGCTTTTTTCCGGGACAGTTGCTGAAAACATTGGATACAGGGATCGAATGACAAACATTGACATGGAGAAAGTTGAGCTTGCAGCTCGAATTGCAAATGCAGATGAATTTATCAGCACACTTCCAGAAGGATATAGAAGCCAAATTGGGCCAAGGGGCTCGCTTTTAAGTGGAGGTCAAAAGCAAAGGTAAAATGATAGGATTGTCATTTATTATTGTTGAAGTACATCTCCTTGTTTTAAATCATAAACCTACCTGCTGGCCTACAAATGCAGATTAGCTATAGCAAGGGCAGTCTATCAGAACTCATCTATTTTGGTTTTGGATGAAGCAACTTCTGCGCTTGATGGCAAGGCCGAGTTATTGGTGAGGCAAGCTGTCGAGCGCTTGATGGAAAACCATACAGTAAGAACGATAGCTTAATCTATAACGACTGCAATTACATTTTGATAATAAAATCCTCCTTGAATGTGTAATGGAACAGGGATGAATAGCTAGTAGTAGCATTGTGATATTATGCTTGCTATCTTTTCGGATTATATCATTGAGTCCGATTGGCATTGACTTCAGATGAATCTTCTTAGGATATTATGGAATACAGTCTTCATCTACTACCAAAAGTGTTGAACTATGTATACACTTAATTTACAGGTACTGGTAATAGCCCATCGTTTGGAGACCATTTTAATGGCGGATCGAATATTTGTTCTAGAAAATAGGAAGCTGGAGGAGTTAACTCGGTCAACCTTTTTGGCTGGTCACCATGAGAAGCTGCTGTCGTGATTTGAGCTCATTCAGATTTGGGATGGTGAGTTTGGAATTAGCCACTCAAAATGCTGGTTTTCTTTCACTGTTATATGATCTTCAGACATGCAGAAAATTAGCGTTTATCCTTGGGCTTCAATCTTCTTCGTGGTATTTAGTCGAATGGTCTATATAATTATATTTTATACAATGGTTAGGCTTAGGGTTTAAGTATTGTTGAGCTAGACTTGACTTGAAATCTAGTGAGTTTAGAATTTTTAAACTCGACTCGAAATTGAAATAAAAAATTGAAGCTTGAATTTGAGTTCGATTCCGAACCTTAAGTACGTGAAGACCTTATATTGTATTTTCTTTTCAAAAGAAAAATAATATAAATGTTAATATTATCAATAATTTAATTTTAAAAATTATAAAGTTAATATGTTATTTTTTGAATTGCTCGTGAATTTTTAGGTATCAATTAACTTGCTTTGTCTTGTTAAGAACTTGAGCCATGTTCAAGTTCAAGTTGAATTTATTCAATTCGAGTGTTGACCGAATCAAATTTAAATATCTTGTGATCTATCTCATTTTATTTACAATTCCAGTTAAGCTATCCTAGCTCCTCAAACGTAATGTTCAACTACATTATAATATATATATATATATATATAATTTAGTTTAAATTATTTTAACATAATTTTTTTTTAAAAATCATCCAATTTTCTTAATTTAAGATATTATAAACTTATTTTTTTATTAAATGTATTTTTAAAAAATTTATAAGATTTAATAAAACCCTTCGTATCGCAGTATAAAAACTATATCAAATTCTCGATGGCTCCAGCTTCCTTGAATGAAATTTGAATATTTTCATTGATAGATGAATCAACAATGGAATCGGTGGGGAGTTGTATCAGGAAAGACGGACTAATATACGACGTTACCGGAAATAAAATAAAATACTTAACAAAGTCGGTTTAGCGCTACCGGAAATGTTTAGTAATAATACTATTGTAGGTGGAAATCATGAAAAAAATATTAAAAAAATTGGTAACCGACAAACTTAGCTTATCGGTAAGTATCGATACCATTCAAATAAGTATCGATACATAACAATATATCAGGTAAAAATATGACTAAACCGGGTTCAATATAACAAAACCCGGTTCAAATGACAAAACCGGTAAAGCGCTACCGGATATGTTAAAGGTATCAATATTGTAATAAGTAAAAGTATCATATTATAAATACTTTAGGAATTTAAAAGAATTGCAATAATAGCGCATATAAAGTATCGATACTTTATAAACATGTATCGATACATAACAATATATCAGGTAAAAATATGACAAAACCGGTTTCATTATGACAAAATTGGTAAATATCTACTAGATATGTTGAAGGTATCGATACTTTAATAAGTATATGTATAATAATATCGATACTTTAGGAATTTAAAATAATTGCAATAATGCGCCTATAAAGTATCGATACTTTATAAACATGTATCGATACATAACAATATAAGAGGTAAAAATATGACAAAACCGGTAAAGTGCTACCGAATATGTTGAAGGTATCGATACTTTAATAAGTATATGCAAGATATTATCAATACTTTAGGAATTTAAAAGAATTACAATAATGACGCCTATAAAGTATCGATACTTTATAAATATGTATCGATATATAACAATATAGAAGGTAAAAATATGACAAAATTAGTTTCAGTATGACAAAACTGATAAAGCGCTACCGGATATGTTGAATGTATCCATACTTTAATAAGTATATGTATCATATTATCGATACTTTTAAAAGAAAAAAATGAAAACGTATCGAAAATATCGACACCTGACACAAAAGAATCGAAAGTATCGACACCTGACACAAAAGTATCGAGATTTGGGTAATTGTATCTATTAAATATAACATATCCGGTTAAAATATCAAAGACATAGCTAAATTTCTTCTGAAAATAGATAGCACACAGCCGTAGTTTTCGAAATCGAAGCGTAATTGTTGATGTATTTCAGAAGGAAAGCGTTTTTAAAGCGAAGTTGTTTGTTTGTTGCTGTAGTCGAATCGAAAATACATTGTCGAAACCTAATTTTTTATTATTATAGTAATCGAAAATAGAAGTTTTATGTGTTTGGGGATTTCAAAGTAAAGAAGCATTTGAGACCGATTACAGGTAGAAAGTGATATTCTAGGTAGATAATAAATATCGATACTTTTATAAAATATTATATGTAGAAAATGATATTGTAGGTTGTATAAATATACCAATACTAGTAGTATAGAGTATTTCCATTCGTTTGAAGGAAATAGAAATTAAGGTTTATGGGTTTGGTTTAGAGATTTCGAAGCCAATAAGGATTTGAGACCGATTAGAGTTAGAAAGTGATATTATAGGTAGAAAATAAATATCGATACATGTATATAATATTATAGGTAGAAAATGATATTGTAGGTTGTATAAATGTACTGATACTTGTAGTATTTGATTTTGATAAGGTAGAAAATGATATTGTGATTGTTTTCAAATTGAGTTTGACTTGAGGACATGTTAGTTTGTTATGTCTCTCGCCGTTGCAGAACCCACATCGCCTAATTTTCTTCTCGACCTTGTTGTTGAGTTAATCGAATGACGAAATTGGCCAAGAGGGGGGTGAATTGGCAATAAAAATTTTGTGGAAGCTTTTGCAGAAAATTGAAAGCAATTGCACAGCGATTTACAGTGGTTCGACTTTCTCAAACAAAGTCTACGTCCACTACCTTAGCTATCCACACTAAGGATTTTCCAACAAATTCACTAATTTGTTCTTTCTTTTGAGGCCAAAGAGATAACCTTACAATTCCCTCAAGAGTATACCCCAACTCTTGAGAACACTCTTTTCTCAAAGAGAATATTACAAATTTGCAAACTTACAAGAAAACCTCACAAGGTAAGATGTTTGCACAATTCTAGAACAAAGAAAAGAACACTCAAAGATGAATACAATTGAGCACAAAAAGTGTTCTTGAAAGCAAAATGAATATTGAATGAAAATGGGCTTGAAATGCTCAAACTTGAGGTTTGATGCTTTCTCTTTGATTCTCTCTTGATTCTAGTTGCTTGATGTTTCTTGTTGTTGATCAATGGCTTCTAAGCTTGCTTAAATACACCTTGGATCACTTCTGAACGTTGGGGATAATTAGAGAAGATATTATAGCCGTTTTAGTGTGAAAACATTTAATAAAACAACTTGGAGCGTGGGGGGAATCGGTTCCCTCTCATAGGGAATCGTTCCCTAAGTGTAAAATTCAAATATTTCGACCGTTGAACAGGGGGGAATCGGTACCCCCTTGGGGGGAATCGGTTCCCTCCGAGCATTCTGGAAATCTCGGAGCCAAACCATTCAGGGGGGAATCGGTTCCTCCTATGGGGGGGAATCGGTTCCCTCTGAGCAATCGGAATTTTTGGCTTTGAATTGGTTCGAAATACTTTGTAAAATATTTTGAAATTGTTTTATGATTAAAACTTAATTTTACACTTAAGTAAGGATCAAAAATAATTTTTGAAATATTTGGAGTAATGTTTTGATATTCGAATAGTTATATCGATATACTTAGAAAATCATTTGGAAAATCTTAAAATCCATTTAACTTAATTTGTTATATCGAAATATTAAAATGTTTCAACAATCTCCCCCTTTTTGATATAACAAAACATTTTAGTAATTTTAAGATTTTTGAAATCAAGTTTTTAAAATTACTCCCCCTTACTTTAACACTTCAATTTATCATGTAAAACATTTAACACTTATTATTCTCCCCCTTTTTGTTAAATCAAAAAGACATTGTAAACAAGGTTTTGAAAATCATTTAGCCAATTGATTTATTAATTATAAGCTTAAGCTGCTAAGATCACAATCAAAGAGAGGTTAGCTATTAGTTTCATAAATCAATATTCATAAATAATGTGATATGGCAAAATTGGTCATGTTGCTAATGATAATGTAAATGATGCAAAAATGAATGAAATACACCAAACATATAAGTTCATACCATTCATAAATCCAAAATCCAACAATCCACAAAATCAAACAAATCAAAATGTTGAAACAATATTCATTTTGTTCAAAGTCTTAAAGCTAAACATAAAATCAAGCATCCGGATCGGTAGGAGGAAAACGGGCTCGCATAGCAGCCATTTCATGAGTTAGTTCATTGATACGAGCGTTGGTTGATTCATTGTTTGCACGCATCTCCCGAAGAATCTCTAATTGTTGAGCTCCCATTGTGGATAAATGGGACTCTATAGAGGAAAAGCGCGAGTCCATGGTAGCGTATCGGAAATCGAATGTCTCCATAAAGGATTGAAATATGGAGGCATTTGATGCGTTTGTTGTGCTTGCTCCTCGGGCTGCTCTTCGGCTGATCAGGCTCATCTTCGGCTTCATCGATATCTTGCATTAATTGCTCAAGCTCGGGATCTTCGTCAGCTTCGGGTGGAGCTTGTGAAGAACTAGCTCCCGGAGTAGAAGATCGAACCCATTCACCGGTTTCTTTGTCCTTTACCCATCCCGCTCTCGTTAAGGAAAGAAGATTTATTTGTTTCTTAAGAGGAAAAACGGCATCTAGACCGACTCTAAGCCCAGCTTTGGAAAACAGATTACTCAAAAAGCAACCGTAAACTAGAGATGAACAGTGTTTCTTGTTAGGAACAAGATTTACGGTTTCAACAATTTCAGCAAAAATAATCTGAGGTAGGTTAATTTTAATACGGTTTTCGAAACAATGTAACCACCAAGATCCAAAGCTCTAAGAGTAGAATAACGACCTCCGGATGGTCGAAACCACCAAGAAATCATTAGATGAAGAAAACGCTCATGTAGGTCTAAGACACTCGCACTATCTCTTCTTTTATAACGAGAACCTAAAATTTGTTTTTCATTCGAAATACCATCATTATCTAATCCAAATGTATTGGCTATATATGCCGGATCAATATATAAGAATTGTCCTAGAAGGTAGGAACGAATTCCTATGGTTTCGGTTTCAGCTTGGTTTTTAACACATACGGCATTAGA